TGCACAGGCTGAGATTCTTATAAGACAGGTATAATACAGACTGAATAAATAGCAAAGATAACTAAATAAAGTAAAAAACGATTAATGGTTATTTCGGACCACGCGATCCTTTTCTTTGGAGCTGTGTCATATCTTGTGTATACATTTGTACAATGCGACACAATGAGACAACTTTTGTGGAATGTCTCATGGTCTGAAATGGGCAATTTGCACGTAAGGCTAAAAAGAACTTTTTTTCTTATCACTAGGGTCATTATCAAACAGCTCGTCAGCTTCTTTTTGAAGCCAACATTTCTGCAAGAGTAAGTATTTTATAAAGCCATTATATCCATTGGTGTTAAGTCTACAATCATGGACAAATTATTTAGGGACACCTATGTATTTTAACATAGATTTACACTATGCATCAGAATTCTTTAAATTTCGGCCCCCCTTACTCCCCCCTTACTCCCCCCGTACCCCCACATTCAATGTTGTGAGTCCCYTTACCGGTTGGACTGTCCACACACAACACCTTAACACCTCTTTCAACATTGATYAGGGGGAAGGGGGGAAKAAAAGAATATAAAACAAATACCTAGCATAAAAAACGCTCCCGCAGGCATTTTGTACCAAGTAAAATGACCATGATTGTAGATTAGCTCCTAAAAAACACTCATGATGATGATGATGATAATGATGATGATGGTTGTCACGGTAATGGCGATGAAAGCTAATGATTTCTTATTACTTGGAAAAGTAACAGATATGTTTYATCGACAGGCATTTGATGACCACCACACTCTATCATCCATACTCGTTCAGTTGGCTGTACTTGGACTGGCTGAATCTAACTGGGGTCAAGCGATATCCTTATTACTTGAAGCCCAGGTTAGTGTCTCATTATTCACTTAGTAAAATTTGTCTCTTCCAATAAGCCAAAACCGTCAACAGCACATGCCGGCAAAATTATATACTGGACATTGTACAGTAGTAAACGATTTTACATGATTGTCAAGGTTATTTATCAACTTAGACTTTCGCAGAGTTTGTTTTTCGCTCGTTGCGGCTCGCCTCTTGCGCTCAGCGCTTGACCATCGCGCTTCGCGCTCAATTCCTGGGAGTAAAAGAGAGTCCGACTTGGGCAAGTCTATTATCAACTAAGTAGAATTCAATTTTACTTTCTGACTGGATATCATTTTGTTTGTTTTTTTATGATAACAGAAATTGCAAGGCAGTCAAAAGTTTTGGCTCGAAACAACCCTGCTTATGATCGAAGCTTGTCTGAGTAAAAGTGACAAACATGCTGTTAGTCCAAATAAACCTGCTGAAGAAGCAATTGAGAAGGTATCTTCTTTTCCATCATTTTTTGATTATCATCGGAATCATCACTGGCTGCAAGTTTTGGGGCTCCCAAAATTCTTCATTATGAGCTTGCTTGCAGGTTTCTCACATGTGTATAGTAAATGTTTTTTATGAATTCCTTTCTTGCATCCTTTGTTCGTTCGTTCATCTGTCCGTTATTTCGTTCCTTTCTCTCTTTGTTCATTAATTTATTCGTTCTTTACTAATTTCCTATTTTTTGTTCATCCATTCCTTCGTTTGTTCCTCTCTTCCTTCCTTTCTTTCTTCCTTTCATCTTTTTTCTTCYTCTTTCCTTCCTTTCATTGTTCTTTTATTTCGTTCTTTCCTTCCCTCTCATTCGGTCGCTCCCTGCTTCATTTGTACATTCATTCAGTCATTCAGTCGTCCATTCGTTCATCTACAAGATTTAATTCTTCTTCAAAGGCATGCGGTATCATTATGGAAGCTAAGTCATTGTTCCAAGCATTATCAGAGGAAAATACAAACAAGGCCAACATGGCGGACTATATTGAAGCTGTTCTTGAAGCAAGGTTATTGTTTTATTGCTGTTTGTTTTGCAATGAATTAACTTGTTTTATTACAACCATTATAAAATGTTTATATTCATTTCAGAATGGGAAATCTTTTGTGTGATTATCTGATGAAAGATGCTTCCTGCAGCAAACTAGATCAGGATGTTGTCAAGAAATGTAAAACAGCTTACCAGGTTCGGCATGTTTGCTACTCATATTTCTCTCTTTTCTCAGTTCGTTGTAAGATTTAAGTATATATTTTTTTCTTTGCAGTATTTAAGTGGAGCGAGAGAGAAGTTCATTCAGCTTGGTTATCGTAGGGAAGCTGTTAAAGTCATGACGAAGGAGGCAGCCATCAAGAAAATGTTTGCTGAAAGTGCTCAAGACAGTCAAGGACGACATCAACTCCTRATGGAGGTAAGCAAGGACTCAAGCAGGTCCAAAAAATGATTTTGCAGGAATTGCTCTCAAAGTCGCTCAAATATCTCTTAGTCATGCGCCATGGTGTTCATAAACAATATTTCTAATAATATTTCATGGCTGTTGTAGGCATATGGTATCCTTAGCGAAGCAACTAACATTATTGATGCTGTCATGTCTGATGTGGTTTCTACATCCACTCTTTCTGAGGTTAGTTGATTCCATCTTCTTATTTTTCCCTTTTCCATCCATCCATCCATTCATTATCCATTCCATTTATTAGATGCGACAAGTCAGTCTTCCTGTACATCGTGAAAGTGTTGAAGTCCGTCTACAGTTGACTGATTTGATGGTCAATATGTTTCTGTGCTACTCACAAGAGACTCGTATCAAGAGAGAACACGAGGCTAGGAAAGGAAGCATGCAAAAGGTTGTGCTACAATGTTTTATGATTTTTAGTTCGTTCATTCATTTTCCCTGGTTTTCTCTGTCTAACAGCTTACTTCGACATTCCTCCTTCTTTTATTTCCTTATCTGTCCTTTCRTTTCTTCGCTCCCATCCATTTTCCCTCTTTCCCATTCCTTTTCCTCTCTCCTATTATTCATCTCCTTTTATCCTTTCCTTGAAATTCCCATTTTTTTATTCATGATTTCCTTCCGTTTTATCGCCCTTCCTTCTCTACTCACATATAACCATTTGTTTGTTATTTAGCTGATTGATGACTTTGTGAACAGCGACGATCAAAAAGAAATCAAAGAAGACTGGGAACAAACGTGCAAGTACGCACATCGATATTTAACATGCATATGATATGTAGTGGATATTACATGGGCGCGCGGAGATAAGGATTTTATCTTCGAGTGTCGAAAAGGTCTCTTACGAGTGACGAGAAGATAAAATTCATATCTACAAGCGAACATGTAATATTCTGTTTATCATATAATCATATGTGAAAGCAAATTATGTCGTAAAATATCTTTTTTACTTACAWTATATAGAGAAACCTCTAACGTGTTATTTTCACTAGTGAAAAAAAATAATAACTTTTCGAAAGAGAGAAATATAGGTATTTCATAGATAGTTATATGATAATGATTATTAATATATAAATTATTCTCTACGTAATTTACACTAATGATTAACAATTGTGATTTTTATAATAATTTCAGATCCCTAATCGTTGATACTATGCTACAACTCTCTGCGGCCAACGGTGTGGCYAGTGGTATTCCTCATCTAAAAGCAAAGGTACTTCAAAAAGTTACACCCAAAATTCAAACAATTCGTGAATATTAATCTGTAACCACGYCCAACATAAGTAAATTTCCCAAGCTTGAGTAATATCTGTTATTATATCATCTTGCAGATTATGTATAATCTTGGCCTGTGTTTAAGAGCCTTGTCAGCACATACGGCTCCTGATGCCGAGGAACAGTGGAAGGAAGTAGAAATGGTAATGTCATTCGTAGTTGCTATTGAAATATTGAAGAAAGTGGGTATGTTAGAGAGAAAGAAAGAAAGTTAGAAGGGAAGGAAGAATGAAAAGAAGGGAAGGAAAAAAGATAAATGGAGGAAAGGAAGGATGGAAGGCGGAAGGGAGGATGGAAGAAGGGAGGGAGGGAGGAAGGACACAGCGAATGGAAGATGAGTGGAACGAAGAAAAGAAGTCACTCGACGTTATYTTAAATAGCTTTATGCCATTACTTGCTTCGTGTAACATTATATTTTTAAATCTTTCAGGATGCATTGCTTGAGGATATCAACACCACAACTAAAGACGAACCACTCGATGAAACAAAAGACGGYGAAGAGACTGAGGGTGAATCTAAGCCTAACGCCGATGCATCACGTGACTTGCTTAAATACACTTCTCAAGCACTGAGTCTCAAGGTACGTGCATCCAGTTTAATATTGTTCTTGTTTTTGCTGTTCTTGTTTTTTTTCGGCGTTGTTTTTAAAGTCTTGTTTATTTCCAGCGCGAGCTTGAAACATCGAGAAAGTACATGGGGCAAGCAGTAGAGTGCTTATCGCAAGCCGTCCATATTGGATTAAAGGCAAACTTGCGGGTAGGTATTAAATCGTGTTTAAACCACCGTTTCTACGTATTTTCAACAGACTGCAAACAATGTATGTAACCATATTTTTAGAACGACCATTCTCATTAATTATCAAATATTTATTTCATGGTTTACTAGGAAGTGGTTGGTCAAGCTTGTCATCAGTTGGTGGAGTGTATTGGTATGCATGACCCGTCATCAGCCGTGCAGTATCTTGCGCTATATCAGGTACACGCCTCCCTCCTCTATACCGACCGAACTCCACGTTTCCACTTCCATGTCTTTGTTGAATATTCGGAGTGCGGTCGGTTTTGAGGGGCGAGTATCGAAAGGAATTTGCTAAAGCTCGGTTTTCGGGAGAAAAAGCATAAAATGAGGGTTTGTAGTTGTTTTATTTAAAAGTTCTCGTAAATTAAATTACTCCTTTTTTATATCAATCTTATCATAATCATT